TCTGCGATGTCCCAGCAGTCAATGTTAAAGCTGCTCTCGGGGGGTGCTAGGAGGGGGTCTCGACCAGGGTGCCAATCTGTGTAAGATCACCACTGACTGCAATAATGGTATATAGAAGATCATGATGGCTGGGACATCTTCTGTGAGACTCTGGTGTATGCTTGGCTCTTACTGTGCACTTAATACAATTTAGCAGACGTTAACTTCAAATTCTAATTCTCAGTTTTCTGTAAGACGGGACTGCACAATTAATCAAATAAGATCTAATGATTTATTATAGACCTTTACTTTAATACCAGGATACCACATTGAAATTCCAAATCTTATGTTTTCAGTTGTGATAGAAACTGGAGCACATTCTCATGGGAAACATGCAAACATTACAGGTCCCTCAAAATGTGTGACTTTTTTTGCTTTAGGGCAACAGCCACTGCATCACCAGTTTAATCAATTACCTGACGCAAGTCTATATGAGCAACAACTCAATGAATACTAAAGATTGTGTGGTTGTTTTTTGCCACAGAAATGACACAGAGTGAGTGTATTTGGCAGAAATGCTGTTCCAGCTTCAGAGAAGTCAACGGGGGTGTTCTTGGCGGGCTGCCTCTCCTGGGGCTGCTTGTTGTTTGATATAGAAAACCTGGATGTACTTGTGTCCTTGGCTGTGTTTGTACTTCCTCTCACTCATTCCTCATCTCTCTCTGTATTCGTTGTATGGCAGCTACTCTGTCCAGTCCTGCTGGACTTGAGTCAGAGCGGCCTATTGTGAAGTGGATGTAAGCTTTGATAGTCATATTAAGGTGTGAATGTGGCTGCTCATATACAGGACACCATTATGTAAGACTGGTAGAACTCATTTAATTCCTATCCCCTTCAGAATATTTTCTTTGCTCTTAATTGCAGAACATACATAGTTTATTTTCTTGTTAATAAAGATGGTATCTTGGCTCCAGATTGTAGAGGCTTCTTTGATATCACAGTTTGAGTGGCTTGTGGTCCACATGGCCAAAATTCATATATTGTGTGGCTCTGGTCCAGTATGAAGAAATAATGATCCTCTGTCCTCTAAGCCGACATGAAGAGGACCCTAATCGGAGCTGTTGATCTGTATACTGGAGATAGACTGATATATAGTTTGGCTGATATATCAGGCAGATTCTTGCACGTTTATTGACTACTGGCCTTAAATCTCCAGCAGTGGCCGATATTTGTTTGGCCCAACCAGCTGCTTAAATATGCATAAATAATATATGTATAAAGATTAATTTGAGCACACAGTGCAAAGGTGGTATTGCAAAATAGCTCTCTTATCCAATTTGTAGTAAAAAGGTTGTAGATAATCTACCAAATCCAAATTGAATAATTTGGGGAAAAATATCAAAAGCTGCCTTACATAGGGATCATTTCACACCATCCATCCATTTTCTTCCACTTATCCGGGGCCGGGTCGCGGGGGCAGCAGTCTGAGAAGGGACTCCCAGACTTCCTTCACCCCAGACACGTCCTCCAGCTCCTCTGAGGGAACCCCGAGGCGTTCCCAGGCCAACCGAGAGACATAGTCCCTCCAGCGTGTCCTGGGTCTTCCCTGGGGCCTCCTTCCAGTGGGACATGCCCGGAACACCTCCTGAGGGAGGCGCCCAGGAAGAATCTGGAACAGATGCCCGAGCCACCTCAACTGGCTCCTCTCGACGTCCGCCTCCGATTCCCCAGCCTTGGCTTCCTCCTCGGAAGATGTGACGGTGGGATTGAGGAGATCCTCAAAGTATTCCTTCCACCGCTGGACAACGTTCCCAGTCGGGGTCAACAGCTCTCCTCCCGCACTGTAAACAGTGTTGGTGAAGAATTGCTTCCCCCTCCTGAGGTGCCGGACGGTTTACCAGAATCTCTTTGAGGCCATCCGATAGTCCTCCTCCATGGCCTCCCCGAACTCCTCCCAGCTCAGAGTTTTTGCCACTGCGACCACACGGGCCACAGCACGCTTGGCCCGTGGTGTTTGTTATGGACAAACTGTGACTAACACATAAGTCCAATAACAGAACATCGCTTGGGTTCAGATCAGGGAGGCTGTTCCTCCCAATCACCCTTCTCCAAGTGTCACTGTCGTTGCCCACGTGGGCGTTGAAGTCCCCCAGTAGAACTATTTCATTCCACGCCATTTCATCAAATTTCCAGAAAATCTCACGCTTCATGTTTTTTTAAAAATTTGAAAAAATTACCAGCTGGTCCCTTACTATCATGTACTACCCCTACTCTGTGTTCAAATAACATCTTTCGAAAGTTTGGTATCTCAACTCATTGTCATTTTATATGAACTTAAAAATGAAAAAAAACAAACAAAACTCATTCATTTCCGTTGGCGTACCATTTTTAGCCCCTTTTTAAACCTACTTGTAGGTGTCAAAGACCCTTAAATTTTTTTGAGAATCAAGATATGTACTAGGTCTGTAAAAAAAAAATCACCAAATGTTGAAAATTTTAAATAGGTTATGTGTGAGGGTCCTGTTAAAAACAAGAAAATGCAACATGGTCCGATTTTCACATGTAATTTATGGCATGTGGGTAGTGATAAAAAAATGTTGAATAATTTTTGTTTGAAGGACCAGAAAAAGACCTTTTATATGGTACCAAACATATGTATTTTATGAAGCTCCTTCAATTTTTAATTGTATCTTGAACATTTGCATTTGACATGATGTGTTACAAGATATCTAAAAACTGAGAACACAGAACATGTACGTCTTATTCGTCAGTATCGGTAGGCACATCTTCATAAACCCGCAGTCGGTCCCGAAGCGTTTTGATTTTCTGGCCGAGGTCACGGCAGCAGGGACAGTCCCCATAAGCTTGACAAATCCTGCAATTTTCCTTAAATGGACAACCATTTAAGGCTCCATAAGACTTTCTTTACCTGCTCAGGCAATCCGAACATGATAGGGAACTGTTTCCTCACTTCTTGGCTGCTTCCAGATGTTTGAGTTCCTTGCACACCAAAATCTATTGTAACGTTTGCATAGTCTTGAACATCAGTGTGCCGTCCACAGTGTCCACAACTAACAGAAGACAATATCATATTGTTGAACATGACTTGATTGTTTCTTTAATATGAGAATAAGCTACAGCTGTTTTCTTGGATGTCAGATAACTTGTCACAAATACCTTGTCAGATACCTTGTCACATCAAAATTATTATCAAACCATTTTATTCAGTCTTTAAATGTTTAGTGACCTTAGCTGCTGGAATAAAACATAGTGCATGGTCACTGTATGCTCGTGTCATTATGTCTTGCACTATGACCGAAACCTAAAAAATGCAAATGTTCAAGATATAATTAAAAATTGAAGGAGCTAAAATACATATGTTTGGTACCATATGAAAGGTCTTTTTCTGGTCTTTCAAAGAAAAATTATTGCACTTTTATCACTACCCACATGCCATAAATTACATGTGAAAATTGGACCATGTTGCGTTTTCTTGTTTTTAACAGGACCCTCACACATAACCTATTTAAAATTTTCAACATTTGGTGATTTTTTTTTTAACAGTCCTAGTACATATCTTGATTCTCAAAAAAATTTAAGGGTCTTTGACACCTACAAATAGGTTTAAAAAGGGGCTAAAAATGGTATGCCACGGAAATGAACAATTTTTATTTTATTTTTTTCATTTTTAAGTTCATATAAAATGACAATGAGTTGAGATACCAAACCTTCGATAGATGTTATTTGAAAATTTCAGCTCTCTGTGTGTGATACTTGCGGAGATATCAACCTGTGACAATGGCTGAGAAAAAATTACGTGCATTTTGGGCCCGTAAATTGACACATACTCCCCTCACTAAATGAGTTGTAACTTAAAAAGTATTGATGGAAAATCACTAAAAATTCACAGGGTTGGTACATGATAGGGACTATTTGGTAATTTTTTCAAAATTTTTTGAGATTGAAGTGTGTGGACCATTTGTTGAAATGGCGTGGATTGACCCATACCCATTGGCTGTTGGTTGCGCTGGATTATAAACAATTGGCATTGACCATGAAAAAATCGATCTCTACTGCATAGTACTTATTGTATTTCTTTACAACTGTAGGACATTATGTCATCATAATGGGCTGAACATTTTAGGGAAAATATCTAATTAAATTTTTTCTGGCAAGCTTTGTGATTGTGATTAGTTTGGGATTTAAATTTTAATTATGGTCAAAATTCATATTTTTTGAGAACATATTTGTACAGATTGGGGTTGTGTGGGAGAACATTATGGTACTTCAAAAAGTGTGGTCTTTGCAATTTTTAGTCTTTATTTTTTTGCAATTTAATCTTGAAAAGAAAACAAAATATTTCATGTTTAAAACATTGTATCAATAACTGTGATTCTCAATATAAAACAACCCCTCTCTCTGTAAGAGGTGCTATAATATCTGCAGTGTATCTATAAAGAAATGTCCCTGTTTGTCTTGTGATTCTGCCTTTTAAGGGTGAGGAATGCCCTGTACATGCTGTTTTGAAGCGAGTCCAGCTCTTGCCTGGCTGCTGGTTGATCTCCTGAGGACTACAGTCCTATGTGTGACTGTGTGTGTGGTGTGTCAGCATTTGTATGTGTCTGTGCCATCTGTACGAGCAGGAAACACCCCCATAAATCTGACTGCAGCAGATTTCTCAGGGCCACTTTTATTACTCTGAATGTGTATTATAGATGAGTGACCACCTGGAAATGAAAGTTTTTGCTCAATCATTTCTTCTCTTTGACCTGGGTCTTTCCACTGTGTGCTGTATGTACTTGTAGTGAACATTCCCAGAAGAGTGCCCCTTTAATTTACTGCTCCACAATGGAAATACTAATCTCTTAATGGTGCAACTCCAGCTGCAATTAAGGCCACATCTAAAAGCAGCCTTCCTACTCATACAACAAAGCATTCCCTTGTCTTTTTCTTAACTGCATTTTGATGACTTTAGCATGAATAAAATATTACTTACATGTGTTTCTCTGCTTTCTCTGTAGCTTGGAGGGGATGAAAGAAGAGTGGACAGCAGGACTGTTTATGTGGGTCATCACTCAAGTCCAGACAGTGAGGGGTTCATCCCGCCAAAGTTCTGTGACAACAGAATAGTGTCCTCCAAGGTAAATACCACAAGCATACTAGGTTTAACCTACTGAAAGCAAGTGAAACATACTTTATGCATATCTTTTAACCCATTGCCATATTTTGAGATTAAATTGCCATTTATACATTTTGGTATTACCAGATACCACCAGTGTTTGCAGTTGATAAACATAATATAATCATTTTTATAAATGCTTTTGTAAAAATATGTGATGATCATTTCAAAAGTAACAATTATTATGATCAATTAATCCAATGAGTTATTGCAGCACTAAGATACTTGGTTTCTCACAACCTCCTTTAGGTACTATAGTGTCTCTGTAGTTATTATACCTAACACTTACTGGTCACTCTCTACCTTTAACAAACTGCTCTAAGCTGCTCCCGTCCCTGTCGTCTGCTCCTCCTGCTGCCTCCAGGTTTGTCTTGGCATCCTGCTGGTGTGATTATTTGTCTGTCACTGGGTGTAGCATTGAAATACATGGCTGCTTTTAATGTTCTGGTAGATTAATCACCTCAGCCCAGTGTTGGTGCTAGGATGAGGTGTGTGGACATGAGGGACTAAAGTCGTGGTGAATGCAAATCTGTGAGTAAGAATCTAGTGACAGAACTGATAAACCAGCCATTACAATTAAATGTCTTCCTAATAACCCCAGGTGCATTATTAATTCTCCTTCCTATTTACTTCCACATACAGGTCCTCATAGTGTTGTGGTTATAACAGACAGATCATACACAGACACACAGACAGAGAGACACACACACAAACACACACACCTCATGCTCGTCTTTCTCATTACTTCTCTCGTTTCTTTCCAAATGAGATGGGCTCTTCTGCTGCTGCTGCATTTTGCCTCTACCAGTGCAGACTCCCTCCTTTTACACTCTGTTTTGCACTTTCTGTGTGAAATACAGTATGTGCTGCTTGTGCAGATCCTGCCGATACTTGAGAGCTCCCAAACAGGTTGCATTGAGCTGTGCTGCTCTGAGGAATATATGCAGATAAGTCATGCTACAGCCATTTACTATTTACAAGAAAGACAGCTACTAATATTTTTTTGATCAGCGAAATCTCCAATTTGTCCTTGTTCTCCTTGACCCATACAAACATAAAAACCTTTTCCCTACTACTTGTAGTTGTTGTAAGGAATCATTTGTGTATGTGACTTACTTTGTTTTCTTCTCTCTACAGTATACAGTGTGGAACTTTCTACCAAAGAATCTTTTTGAACAATTCAGAAGAATCGCCAATTTCTACTTTCTTATCATCTTTCTGGTTCAGGTGAGGACAGGGGTCTCTTGACAAAACAGACATAAAAGACAAAATGGGGGTCTTCCATGAAGTGAGATTAAGCCAAAGCCTAGAATTACAAAAGAAAAAACAAAACAAAAAAAGCATAAGTGACTTCATAGTGCAATAAATATGTACAATATTTATGTAGAGGAGAGAACTCCGCTGATCAGAATCAATCAAACAGCTAAAGGAATACCGTCATGTTTTGGCCTTACACATGTTTGTTTACACATGGCTTAAACCTGTTTGGCCATTTTTACACACCTGGACATCACCAAAACACTGAGATATAATTTCTGCTTTTATTTTTTGTAATCTCCAGTCACCAACTACATAATTAACTGAATTTGTTTTAAATTATTTCTTTAAAATTTTTTTAATGAGTGAATCTGAAGAGGTTAATGGTCACCTTTTGTGGTACACTCAGTTCCCTCCCTTTAGTATTCTGGAATCTCTGTAAGCACACATGCTTCTAAAAACAGCCCCGGGACTTACTCATCACTCTCCAGCCCCAAAATGAGTGGGATAAGCTCCGGTCATCCATGACCCCTTATTGTAGTGCTCCTCAGTACTCATGGTCATTACCTGTTTGTACACATTGATTATTGTATGACATGGAGTATGACTTGTTCTGGTTCAGTTGATTGAAGATGAATATCTTAAATGCTTTGTTTGAAATGGATATATAAAGTGTAGTTTGCATTCATAAATTAGAGATTAGAGAAGTGGGCCATTGCTCATTTTGTTGGAGTGACAGATGGATTTTTTTAAGTGGTATCTTACGTAAGAAGATTTTTGTACAAACTCAAACTTAGAGGTGTTGTTTAGGTAGTGTTGACTGTTACCATATCTGGAAAGGGTTTTTAAAATTGAACCATAGATGTTGACAGAAAGTAATTAGTGCCATCTTTTTTCCCAAGCCCAGTGATTTTTGCTTCCACCTGCTGCAGCTTCTCCATCACTACATGACACATCATTGCACATATATAGAAATCCTAAGCTTAGCCCTGATGCCTAACAGTCCTCTTGTGTAAACAGATGTTAATTTTAAAAGAAATTTCCTCCCAACTTTCTTTGCTGGAGTACCGCAAGGTTCAGTACCGGGCCAATCCTATTCAGTCTATATACTTACAAAAATTTAATGTAGGAAAAAAAACAAAAACATTTAAACGCTAATGACAAAGGCAGGACTAAATGCACATGCAAAAACAAACTAATAAAAGACAGCACTGCTGTTTTAACCCCAAACCTCAACACCAAAGTAGTGAAATAATCTTTGATTCTAATTAAGATATTAAATCACTTGCAAATATTTCGCTTTTGGTCTGTGTTTAGTGAGTGTACAATACCCATTCTGACCTAAAACTGAAGTTAGGTTGACTATTGAATCCAACCTTTGCCAGTATATTGAGCAAGTATGACTCGTTGGGTGGATTTTTACCCAAGCATCTTTCTTTCTTAATTTTTCTTAATCCACTCTCTTGAAAGATGCTTTGGTCTAACCATTGAGTTCCCCACATGCTGCTGACAATTATATCACAGACTGACAATTTGAGAAAAACAGGTACTTCAAATAGAAAAACACTAAATTCCCGAGAGCTCTCAATGCTAATTCTCACCAACAACTAAATGTCACGCATCCTCCAGTTGGCTGTTGTCATACTGTCTATTTTCCTTCCCCTTCTATCTGCTTCTATCACACATGCCCCCCATCTCTCTGCAGCACAGCTCTTGCTTACGTCAGCAGCCAGGAAGCCCTCTTGTTCTTTGGTGTGCCGCAAATAGACACAGCCAGATAAAAAAGCACCACTCTGTCCTAAAAATAGCCCTGTGTATTTTTGCTTGAATTTGTCCAAAAGGGAATAGTTTACAAAGAGAGGGGATCGTGATGAGGCTAAATGGGGAAAGTGGAGGGGAGGGGGGCTCTTAGTGTGGGAGGATGCGCTGGCTAGAAGGGGGACTCCTGGGAAGTGGTGTCTGACGCTCTGTGGCACACTTGCCTGTGCAGCAGAGGGGCTCAGTGCAGCTCTCACACATCAAGACTGCTCATGTTCAGTGTAACGCTGAGATTTAATGAGATGCCCTTTTAACAGAGAAAGGTATTTACCAACTGAAATTTTAGTGTGGATGATTATATTAATATTCAATAATGTTTGCTACATTTGATGTAGGGGAAGATATGTATAAAAAAGAAAATCAAGGAATGTGTAATAAAAAAAGATCTGATTAAGAAAAAGAAAAAAAATTTACACTGCAATCTTGAAATAAATTGTTATTTTTATACTTTTGTGTAGACATCTTATTGTACATTCATGTTTGTGATACTAGAATGATTTACAGGCATATCCCTGGCCACCAATTGGGGCACTGGCACATTGTAGTTTGGCTTGGTGCTTGAGGATATTTTCTTTGGGAAAACAAGGTCATTTTTATGCATTTGTTATGCATTTGTGTTCCTTCTGCAGGGTGCCATAATGTCTTGCTTCTATCTTCTATGTTACGTACATGTAGTATTGTAACCATTGGGCATCACTTTGTTTTACAACATGTGGTCCTTAGAGAATATGGCCTCACCCAGATTACAGGTCTCCCATGACCAGACTACACTGAACCGTCTCTAGAGGAGCGTCTTAATCCAGTATCTCCAAAGCCTGAGGCAGGGCTCTGACTTCAGCCCTGTCCTTATATTCACCCTCTGCTTTATGTAGGTCCACTTTTGCCTCCAATGATTTCACTTCTGTGTTTCACCAAAGGAGCCAAAATGGACAAATATCCTACACAAACATTTATGGCTGATTTGTTAGGTTAGTTTTTCTATTCTGTGGAATTGCAGTAGATTTCTTTTCAGACACTGAAAATGACTTCTGTGGTGTTTGGTTTGTGGAGAATAGATCCAACAGCATTGTAAGCACAGGTGAGGGAAAACTAATGTGTCATAACACACACCATGCTGATGTCTATCTGACAGTGAGTAATGTTCCTGGTCAGAATACTAACGACTGGAGTGTCGGCTCTAAGCGCAGTCTGGCTCAAATGGAGCACATGCTTCATGCTGCAAGATCACAAATACCAGAGTAAATCCATCTTATGCTGGTGCAGAGGGACTCAGTGGCACAGATGACCATTTGTATACTGGGGTTTAGCTGTGAACTGTAAGCTGGACTGGTTACTGGTTCTTTGGGATTACCTGACTGCTCAATGCAGCACATTTTTGTGTTGGCCCACTCCAGGCCTTGGCAAAAAACAGTCTTTGGAATGCCTGCGCATTAAGCACTCTTTCCTGCGCCAAGATGGTTAGAAGTCTGTCTGCAACATCCACAAAAAGTTTAATGTCTCTCACTAATAAAATAATTGCTAACAAAGAAATGAGCTACACCCTGTGTTCAGTGACTGGGCCTTTCATAAACCTAAAATCTCTGCCACAAAACTATATCTTTCCTTGTATGAGTTTATATGTAACATATGCTGATTAACTGTTCTGTTTGCTTTGCCCATAGGTGATAGTGGACACACCCACCAGCCCAGTCACCAGTGGCCTACCTTTATTTTTTGTCATAACAGTTACTGCTATAAAGCAGGTAAGATTGTTTTGTAATGCTCTTGGTGGCTCATTTCAATAACAGTTACTTTTCCCATCACTCATGTGTGACGCATTCTCTTCAAGGCCTGGTATTTGTGCTCTGTGGTTGTTATACATTGTGATGAATCAAAAATGTGCTAGAGATACTCCTATTTTTTCAATATTTTTTTGCAGATACAATTACAGCCGCTATACCCAGATACTGGTCGATACTAAAACTTGTATCTGAAATTACATACCGATACTGAGAAAGAAAACACATACATTTTAGTATTATGATAACACAATTATCATGCTATCAAATTGCATTTATATTTGCATTCATTTTTTTGTAGGGGTATGAAGACTGGCTTCGACACAAGGCTGATAATGAAGTTAATAAGTACCTTGTAACTGTTCTACAAGATGGTCAAAGAATACGGACAGAGAGTGAAAAGATCAAGGTATGATCACGACCATCTTCAAGTGGTCATATATTCCTGTCATGCAATATTCTATGTACTTATTATTTTGATAAATAATAATAGTGTTAGCCATGATGGAGTCTTACAAACATAACTTGCATGCTGAAAGGAGAATATTATGTGTGTCTGACAGGTGGGAGATGTGGTAGAGGTGGAGGAAGATGAGACCTTTCCCTGTGATCTGATTCTGCTTCAGTCCAGCCGTGATGATGACACATGCTTTGTTACCACTGCAAGTCTGGATGGAGAGTCCAATCATAAAGTAAGATTACCCACCATTTCAAATCTACCTCCATGCACAACACATTGACATGTCAAGGCCCTATTTTACGGATGATGCTGATGGAGTAATAGTAATGGTAATGGTGTAGGGGGCTGAGTGTTGGTCTCGGAAATGTTCACAAAGCTCTTCAGAGTGTAGGGCATATCACCTCTTCCAATCACTATGATCTATTCCATCCTACTGACTACTTTTTATCTGCTTGGCATATGAGAACAAGAATCTAAAGATTTTATTTTTTCAAAGTAACACTCATGGATGTATTCTTGCCATGCTCACCACTGAATCGATGGAACTGGAGCCTGGATATGGGATGCTCTATCTCGGTGAATAAAGCTATATTCCAGAATAAGATGCTGAAAGGAGTGGTGTCCTGCAGCCTTTTAAAACAAGCATTCAGTTATCCAGCCAAACTGGTAATAGTTTCTTGTGGCTCAGCTGTCATAGATTACCTAGAAAATGCAACAGCTCTACTAAAACAAACCACAAAACAGTGTCTCTAATGTCTACATGATGCAATATAATGATGCAAGGACTTCATTAGAACATTTTAAGAGACCAGTTGACCTATGGACATTGTGTCACTTTCTCCTCTTGTTGTTTTCCAGACACACTACACAGTGCCAGACACTGAGAAGGATCTGGAATCTCTCAGCGCCACAATCGAGTGTGAACAGCCTCAGCCTGACCTTTACAAGTACGAGTTGGTCACATGACCCCAACAACAGTTTGTCATATTGTTGTGTGGAAACATTTATAGCTTCAGTATAATGTTAGTATAATATAGACAGTTACACTGCAGCACATTGTGGTCTTCTAGACTTAAAATGATGCAATGCACTGCTCCTTGTTGTTTAACAATGTTGCTGTGTGCATACAAAGAACTCTGTTCCATGAAATTTTGCAAAAGTATCTTGTTTATGAATTAGTCAAAAGATAGATATTTAAATGACTCATTTGACATGCCTTAATTACCTTAATTGTGCTGACAAGTACCACTGACCATCTGTAGTTATTTGTCCAAAACTGTGATCTTGAGATCATATAAAATATAAATTCAATTTGGATGGTGTGGTGATGATGACCATTTTTGTGTGTTTTTATTTCAGATTTGTTGGCCGCATGCATATTTATAAAAACAATCAAGAGCCTATAGTGAGGTGAGAGCATTCAAACTCCTGGCAGCTTTGTATGAAAGCACATTCATAATACTCTACTTAATCACTCACTTGTTTTTTGTTTGCATCAACAAATCATTATTCCATTGATCCACGATGGGATACAAGCATTAAAATTAAAATTGGTTGGCAGAACTTCAGCCACAGCCTCTAAAGTGCTCCCATGGGCATTTGTTATTGACTTTTTTGTGAAATGCCATACAAAAAATCCCAACGTCCTTCTCAAGAACTCTGAGCGTGGTGTGAGCCCAGACTGTATCATACTGTCACAGCAGTTTTGGGGTGGATGGCAGCCCCACTCTAGGCATCCATTTAGGAAACACAGTGGGGGGTTGTATCAATTTGGCATCACTGCACTGTTTGATGTGCTGTTGTGGTTTGTGTAGGTCACTGGGTCCAGAAAATCTATTGCTGAAAGGTGCAACTTTAAAGAATACTCAGAAAATCTGTGGTAAGTCTGTCAAGTTTGATGATGACTGTATAATTCTTATGTAGAGCACTGTCTAGTAACTATTACTCTTACCTTGTTAATTTCCCAAAGGTGTAGCAGTTTACACTGGTATGGAAACAAAAATGGCTCTCAACTATCAAGGAAAATCTCAAAAGCGTTCTGTTGTGGAGAAGTAAGAATAGTAAAATACTGTTGCACTTTGATAACTGAGAATGACAATTAATTGGTCCATCAATGCCAGGTCTATCAATGCCTTCCTTTTGGTTTACCTCTGTATATTGGTGAGCAAAGCTCTTGTCTGCACAACACTCAAGTATGTGTGGCAGGGCAAGCCTGGACAGGATGAGCCCTGGTACAATGAGAAAACCCAAAGAGAGAAGGACACCAATCTGGTAAGCTCTAGCTGTGTGATGACAGCTATGTATTCCATCCATTACATGTACATTGTGTCATTTTTGTGTGTTACACATTTGTAAATTAACATATATTTCCCTGCAGTACCTGAAAATGTTCACTGACTTCCTGTCCTTCATGGTGCTCTTCAACTTCATTATCCCTGTGTCTATGTATGTGACGGTGGAGATGCAGAAGTTTCTGGGATCTTTTTTCATTACATGGGACAAAGATTTCTTTGACAGTGAAATAAAAGAAGGAGCACTGGTTAATACATCAGACCTCAATGAGGAGCTTGGACAGGTAATAAAAGATTCACTTTATGTTTCACATGCTTTATGCTTTTGTTGTTTCTAATGTGCCATATGTGCTAAAACTGTTGTATAGTCTATAGTTAGCAACAGTCTTCAAAATCATTCACAAGCTGTCACACTTGGCTTACAAGATAATTACTGAAAATTCTAGCATGTAATTTAAATTGATCTGATGATTAATTGCCTCATCTTAACTGCCTTTTAACATTCTTTAGGTGGAGTATGTCTTCACAGACAAGACTGGTACCCTTACTCAAAATAATATGGAGTTCATAGAGTGCTGCATAGATGGCTTTCAGTATAAGCATCGTGATGCAAGTTCAGAGCTGGATGGCTTCTGTGTCACAGACGGACCTGTGAGCATACTACAGCAGAAAGCTGGCAGGGTGAGTGCTGTGGTGCCCTTCCTCCTGTTGGACAAGTCAAACAAGCGACAACATATGGCCATTACACAGTCGGTGTTCAGACCCCTCTCAGGTCACTCATGCAGTCTTCTGCACATGTCACCATATGCACATAGCGTGAAGTAGAAGCAAAGTGCTCTTGGCATAACACTTGATAATGTCATCAAATCCTAAACTACTTCAGTTTATCTTGACACAATGTGAGTTTGACTTAGTTTTGACTGTATGTTGTACGTACTATAATACAAAATAAATTCACAATGTGTAAATATATACAAAATTAACTTTTCTCCTAATGTTTGCCACCTGTATTCATCATTCCTTAAAAAAGTTATAAAATTTGCTCTGATTTTAGGAGAAGGAAGAGTTGTTTCTGCGTGCGCTCTGCCTGTGTCACACAGTTCAGGTGAAAGAGTCCACAGAGCCATGTCCCGATCAGGTGGATGGTCTGAATAACCAGGTGGACTGTTTAGGAATAGATGGAGACACTTTGGGAATAGATGGAGAGCTGTCGCACACTCAGGAGCAGAGAGGCTTTATCGCCTCCTCTCCTGATGAGATCGCGCTGGTGAAGGGGGCCATGAGGTACTTTATTATTTTGATTATGAACTATTAACTGTGTACAGAAAATGTATTTGAAACTTGCAGTATATTGCTTTTATTTGCAGATATGGCTTTACATTTCTGGGTCTAGAGAGCAAAACAATGAAAATACTAAATAGGAACAATGATGTAGAAAGGTAAGGGCTAACTTCAAAACATATAACATTTTCTCAGTTTACAGAGTAGCAGCAATAATTTACTTCTTTGCACCCTAAAGATATGAACTGCTTCACGTGTTGAACTTTGACCCAGTGAGGAGACGGATGAGTGTAATAGTTCGATCATCATCAGGTTAGTAGAACATTCACTGTATTTTATTGATAGTTGGAGAAGGTGGTTCTTTTTTGCATCCACTGTTTCTGCATTTTGTGCAGGTGACACACTGCTTTTCTGCAAAGGAGCAGACTCTTCCATTTTTCCTCGTGTCAGACAGGAGGAAGTTGAGAGGATACGCCTGCATGTGGAGCGTAATGCTACAGTGGGTACCTAATGTCATTGTAATATTGTAACTTGAATTCTAGTTTTCAGGGTTTTTAATATAATTATGACTGCTCTACAGGAGGGATACCGCACCCTTTGTGTCGCCTACAAGCTCCTGAGTGAAGGAGAGTACGCTCAGGCAGATGCAGGACTGAGAGAAGCCAGGTTAGCCCTGCAGGACAGAGAGGAGAAGCTCATGGCTGTGTACAACCAGGTGGAGACAGGGATGAGTCTCATAGGAGCCACTGCTGTTGAAGACCGGTTAGTTACATTGGAATTTAGCTCAGTCAACCTTACTCATTGACTATTATAGTTACATGCACCAAATATACTTGCAATATCTTACAGCCTACAAGAGGAAGCAGCAGAAACAATGGAGGCTCTGCAGGGTGCGGGCATGAAAGTTTGGGTCTTAACGGGAGACAAAATGGAGACAGCCAAGTCCACCTGTTATGCATGCCGCCTGTTTCAGAAGAACACAGAGCTCTTGGAGCTTACAGTGCGAACGCTGGATGATGAAGTTAGAAGACGTGAGGAGAAACTTCACGAGCTGCTGCTAGAATACCATAAGAAAGCTGTTCAAGATGCACCACCAGCCAAAGCAGGCATCACCAGGTTTGGAATAGATCCTATAAAAGTACTATTATTTTGATGTATATACTGTATATTTATGAATATCTAAATTTTAACTCAATGTCTTGACTCTTTACTCATAGGAGCTGGTCTTCTGCTAGCCAAGACTATGGTTTTATTGTTGATGGGGCATCTTTATCAATGATTCTGAACTCTTCCCCTGACTCTAGCAACAGTCGCTACAAGAACCTATTTCTGCAAATTTGCCAAAACTGTACAGCTGTGCTTTGCTGCCGTATGGCTCCTTTACAGAAAGCACAGGTTAGTAGATGAATGGAAGTTTAATCAGATTTACTGTACATGAAATATTTATATGAAATAGTATTTCATGTTCATTTTATTATTAAGATTGTGAAGATGGTGAAAAACTCCAAGGGGAGCCCAATTACACTCTCCATTGGTGATGGTGCAAATGACGTCAGCATGATTTTGGAGGCCCACGTCGGCATTGGTGAGAAGTAAAGTCTGAAAGCTTGTAAAAAATTATTTCTCACTTAATATTAATTATTTAAAACAAATATTATATATAACTTGGGACGGGTATACATTTGAAATGGACAATGAGTGAAAAAAAATGTATAAAAAGAGATGGGAAGTTCTTAAATAATTTTTACTGTTTACTTTTGTGCATTTGTATGCTAATCTTTTTTTTTTATGCCAATTTAGTAATAATTAATGACTTATAACTTAAAAATATATGACCAAAATCAAATAGATGTAGTCACACAAATATTTTTTTATCCATATAAAAGATGAATAAATACAATCAAATTTAAAGTAGTGACCTAGTTGTGTTATTAACTATGGACAGTAGTGATGTAAAATATAGTTAATAATAAAAAAAATCCTTAAAACAAAAAAGATAACAAAAATAAATATTAATATTAATAACAATAATATATTGTTATTGTTAATAAATAAATACATTTTAAAAAAGGAAAGAAAAAAGGGGGAAAGAAAAAGAAAATACCTTTAAAATTATGTATAGTTAAAAGTAATAAAATTACACGATGAAAGGAAATGATGGCGAAAATAATAGTTAAGCATAGTGACTAAAAGTGCTTTTTAAAAATGGGGGGGTGTTACATTTGTGTGTGTGTTTAAGGTGAGGGTGGGTTAGGGGTGAGGGACTTTATGAGGTTTGTTTTTGTGTCTTGTTTTCATGTTTATTATTGTATTTTGTTTTATGTTATATTCTAATGTTAATAATAATAATAGTGTTAATAGTAGTAATAGTAATATTATTATTATTATTATTATTATGGAAGTTCTCCATTTGTAATGTAAACTCGGAAAACCCATGACTGACGAATTGTGTGATCTTTCTCTTTCAGGCATTAAGGGAAAAGAGGGCCGACAGGCTGTGAGAAACAGTGACTATGCCATTCCCAAATTAAAGCACCTTAAAAAGCTTCTTCTTGCTCATGGTCATCTTTATTATGTTCGCATTGCTCATTTGGTGCAGTACTTTTTTTACAAGGTTGGTTTTGTGTTGTTATTTGATCCTTTACAGTAAAAGTTGTGTTTTTGTAATCCTGCCTTTTTTTTTTTTTTTTTTTTTTTTTTTTTTACAGAACCTTTGTTTCATCTTACCTCAGTTTTTGTACCAGTTTTTCTGTGGCTATTCACAGCAGGTGAGTTTGTCCTAATGGCTTTGAATTTGAAAAATGTCCTTTTTTAATTACCCTTTTCCATAAACCTATCCCTGCTTTTGGGGTGAATGAGTCAGTTTAGCAATTTCCATAAAATGATTACTTATGTTTTTTTTTTTTTGAAAGATTAAAAAAAAAAATTGTCCTATGTACAGTGATCCATCCCGTTTTAGGGACAAATCCTTACCATGATCTTTCCTTTCCCCTGCTCCGTTCTTGTCAGCCCTTGTATGATGCAGCCTATTTGACGATGTACAACATATGCTTCACTTCTATGCCCATCCTGGCCTACAGCCTGTTAGAGCAACACATCTGCATTGAGGTTCTCTTGGACAATGCTACCCTCTACAGGTAAAATAAAGAAACTACAACTAATGTTTTTATACACATTTATTTTAACAAATGTCTTACTTGTAATCGTTGATAGAGAGATTGCCAAAAATGCCATGTTGCGTTGGAGGCCCTTCCTATACTGGACAGTTCTTGGACTGTTTCATGGGCTTCTCTTCTTCTTTGGTGTTTGGTATTTGTTTTATAATCCAGCATTGCAGGACAATGGGCAGGTGTGTATTCTGGCTTTATTGTTTAAATTATATCATGAGGTACATGTATTAACTGTCAATGTGCACTTTATATAGGTTTTTGGGAACTGGTCCTATGGGACTATTGTTTTCACTGTGCTTGTTTTCACAGTTACACTCAAGGTAATCTGCAACGAAATTACCACATATTTGATTATTATACATAAATGTTTATTATACTTTATATCTTTTCTCCACAGCTTGCGCTGGACACCCGACATTGGACATGGATCAACCATTTTGTCATTTGGGGCTCCTTGGCATTCTATGTGTTTTTTAGCTTCTTCTGGGGAGGGATTATATGGTGAAATAAATAAATGAAAGACAATTTTGATCAGTTCAACATTCTCTATGTAAACTAAGCACCTCCCTTGTCTGTAGGCCCTTCCTGAGTCAGCAGCGCCTGTACTTCGTGTTTGCAAACATGTTAAGTTCAGTCTCGGCCTGGCTGGTCATCATTCTGCTGATCCTGCTCAGCCTTCTGCCTGAGATCCTTCTGGTAGTTTTCCGGAGACCCCGCGGACCCCACTCACGACAGGTACATACACCACTATGGTGTGCATTAATCAATATTAACAGGTCTAAAGATGTGAATCTTTTGAATTTCAGTTGGAAAAATTATTTGCATTTATGTGTTAAATGTCAGGATGTTTAAAAAATATTGATTCTTAATTTTTTGCATATTAGTATCACTAAGATGTTACCAAACATCAAACTCTTTCTATTGTTAAAAAAACTACTAGCCTGCTCTTCTCTCAGTGACGATGTTAGTGCTTTGCCTGGAATGTTCCACAGTATCACATAAAACATTCAATCAATATTATATTTATTTCTTTACAGGTTGTTTTTTATTGGTCAAAAATATCTTGAAAACATATTTTTTGTGAGTGACTGGGGTTGCCTCTCCACAGAACTGAACTGTAAGCTGATCAAATAACATCACCAGCTTGTCTCCATATAGCTAAGTTAATGCTATACTATGTGGAACATTCTAGACAAAAAGATGATAAGCGACTGGTGTATTGCCTGGTGAATCCAGAATGATATCTCCATCCCACAATGGGATCAATCTGGTCACCACACTCATTCACTTGCCTTTCAATCCAGAACCATTTTCATGCAATCAGATTTGTTTTTTTTCAGTGACACATGTTAAACAAAGGAGCTCACTGGTCACCTATCATTTACAAACACAATCAAATCTCTAATTTTCAGTTGTTTAGTTCTTCATCCTTGCATTTACACAAATATTGATTAAAAAAAAAGGTTCATGTAGTAATATGTGGGACTAAGGAGCAAAAATGTGTACTATATGTACTATTTTTAAATAACTGTACAATGATTGTAGTATGTAATAACATAAAAACTATTATTAGTTTATGTAGCCCAAAACATTTATTGCTGGGTTTAAAGAAGAGATACACAATAGTTAACCATTGTGGTGAAGGTATTCCAATCCATTCCAAAACATCCTTTTGGAATACATCCATTCTTCTTAGACGCCAAATAAGAAGCCTTCATACCTTTTCTTTGTTCTCTCAATGTCCTATTTCCTGTGTGTTTGGATGTGCTGCCCTAAAGATGACGCAGCGCCTCCCTTCCTCTGGGACCTCCACTATCTTCATGTTGTCGCAGACTGCTAGCTCTCACAGCTTCTCATGGACTGACTGAGGTCTCTTATTTCTTGCTGCGTCAGCACATAAGTCTCTGCTTGTGTCCTATCTGTTGTCTTCCTCTCCCACTGTTACAGTTCACTTCCCTATTCGTAAGCCTTTGATTTAGAAACTGATCCACTGAGGTGCTCCTAAAGTACTTAGTTATAGATTAGTGATTAGCACTTGTCTAACCTTTTGAGAGACTTGGTTGAGCTATCAGTGTGGAGCAGGTCCAGATGCTAAATACATGCAGCTAGCCTATATTTTTTGTAATGTATCAGTCTATGTGCTCTGCTGCCAAAATGCTCTTATGCCTGCTGCCCTGGCATGTCCTGTTCATGAATGTAGCACTTCCAAGCACCAAATGCACTTGCATGAGGCTCAAGTCAGCTATCTCCCAGAGGACCCTCAGAAAACCTTCAGGACCTGCTTTTCATGCGTGGGTTTTGAACAGTATCCCCGAATAACATAATATATAGATATTGTCTGAAATCATGGCAGTTTATTGTGATATTTGTTGCAAAAAGAAAATGTATATTCATCAAACCCTCCCAGCTGTGTCTTGTCTGTTTACACACACGTATGTCCCTGTAACTGTCCAGTGTGAATGGTGTGTGGCAGTGTAGTGTGTCATTAGTGTCTTTGCCTTGCCCTTCTAGAAAGAACTGGTTGATTCCAGAGTGGGGGGGCTGCAGTCTCCCCGGTCCTCGGCCCGGCCCCTGCTCATGAGAACCTTTTCAGATGAGTCCAGTACTGTCATTTAAACAGGTATCAGCCCATGTTTGACATGGGATCACTGCAAATTTGCTCCCCTTTGGTCCAAATATTAGTTTAACCCAATTTTTAAAATCTGTGCAAAGCACTACAGCTGTAAAAAAAGCTACAAAACCGTGTTATAATAACCTCTCTGTGTTGTGTCATACTGTAGTATAAGTATGCAAGTGGGCTGGCTGAAGAGGTGCTTCTTCCTCATGGCACTTTAAATTTACATTGTTGATTGGCACACATAATGCAACACATTCAGAAAGCTAGAAATGCAAATAAGCTCCTCTGCAGCCATCCTTCTTTACCCAGTGTCCTGCTGCATGTGCTTCTACAAAACCCCAAACACAAGTGTAATGTTCATTGTGTCTGTGGTACATGTGAGGTGTTTGAGCTACACACTGGTCTATGATAGTTGAGCTGGTTGGGGGCCTGAGCCTTGCGGTCTGTCGGCTCTGATGTGTGCCATGCTGTAAGCATGTCTCTGTGTGCTTGTTTTATTTGCCAATAACAGCACATGCAACACCAAGCTCACCGCATGATTTGACTTTTACAGTTTGGATGTTACATTCAAGGGGTTGACAGCCTATCCCAATTTTACAATAAACTAGCTGATTTTAAGTGATCATGTGACGTTCAAGCGTTATTTAAATAATATCATGGCATTTGTCCACCCCCTGTAGGTATATCCAAATTCCTATATGACTTTACAGGTGAGGTTTACCAGTTTCATAACTACCTGGTGTTATTTAACCTGCATTTCTATTTCTCTCCCTAGCCTTCAGAAAGTGGCCTCCTACAGACATCCAGGTAAAACTTTAACATGTCCAAGGTCGGTGGTTTTATACCAATTCCAACCAGTGCACAATTTTTTGCTGTGCCTTTGGGAGAGACACTCACTTTTCACTCACTTTGACTATGTACGACTGTGGTGTGTGTTATTGGTGGTGGTCAGAGAGGTTTGTGGTGCTGATTGGTAGCCTCCTTTCAATCAGTTTGCCCCAGGGCAGCTGTGGCTACCAGTACCAGGTGTGGAGAGAATAAGTAATGCTATGTGAAATGTCAATGCAATGCTTTATTATTCTTATTAAATTAATGGTGTCTCTGCTCACTGCCGTTCCTGCGCTTCTTCAGATCACAAAGGGAGATGATCTCTAATAACTGCTTTTGTCCAATGAAGGGGTGTGTAGTTGCTACAGGGTGCATTTTAGTGATTACAGACAATTGCTTCTTGATTCTGGGTTGATTAGTGTAGCTTTCTCCTTTCTCTTACACTTAAGTCTAATGTAGTAAGACTTATCTATTTGTTTTGCAGATTGCACCTGTCACGCCACTCTCCTACAAGTGTCTGAAAGAAGGCGAGTGAACTCTCATCAGGAAAAGCAAAAGCCTCTAAGCACTTGGCCACAGTGGCCTGCTGGAGGAAACGACAGTCCCAATAGAAAAACACCAGACTTTCCCACATCAGGGGAAAAATGAAAATGGCAACTGAAGTCATTTTGACAAGCTCCTGTTGCCACTGTTTTTGTCCGTCCTCTTTTTATTAAAGCATGCCCTGGACTTCTAAAAGGCTATGAGATAATGGGCATGACATTTTTTTTATTCTATTTAATTGTATTCAAGCAACACTCTGAATGCAAACACGACTGCCTTGATAGTTTTAACTGCTCTTAGTTAGCAAATGGTTGTAAAATGTCCTCCAGAATGGTTCACATGCATGGATGATGGCCCAAAAGAACTACTCCTCAATGATGCTCCGGCACCAAATTGTTTTAGATTTAATGTTTGTTTTAATGTCTGCGTAGGAGACTGTTAAACCTTTGTTTTCTAAGTTACTGTTCAGTTATAGATGTGATTATATTTGCCTAATCTACAACAATTTGTTTGGCATTAGTACATATCTTTGCTTGCTTTACTTTGTCATTCTCAGAGGATTTAAAGTTAAGTTATATGTGCTATAGAACATATATTTATTTATAAGTTGTTTAATTTAATAAGCTCAAGGCCAAATATAAATATATTACACCAGGCACCAGTGCAGACACTGTCAGTTCAACTGTATTGTTTTACATTTGCTGTTTAATTAAAAGTAAAGGAAACCAGGATAACTTGAACCTGAAATGGTTTCTGCACTATTCAAGAAAATGGTTTCCTTCATTGCTTGATTTGCCACAAAGTTGTTGGCCTGAGCACTTCACACGTGTCATTGCAGTGAGTACCACAGATCTATTTAAACAAATGCACTAAGTCAAATGAGGTATTATTATTCTGTTCATGTTGTTCACCTAAGCAGGGTTTACCTGCAGTAAATGAAGCCAGTGTGAGGCTTTTATTCCAGACTGTAGTATCAGGCCTGTGTGTCATCATTATATTATGTGTACTGCTTTAAACATTCCATTTACATGTGCCATAATTTCAAATATTTACAGATGTTTATTTAATAAACATTTTATTATTTGACATAATTATTGCTGAAGTGATTTTCCTCAAATATTTTATTGTTACTTCTATTATACATGTGTTGCATTGCTTTATGCCAGTTCACTCGTTCACTGTAGTTTGAACTTGTGCCATTGTTCTACCATTCACAAGAAACAGGCTGTTAAATGTATTTATACAATTCTTTTTTTTTTTTTTTTTTTTTTTTTTTTTTAATGTTTTAGCTTTCCCACAGATCCCATTCTCACATTCTGTTTGCCCTGGCATCAGATCACATGAGATACATTTCACCAGTGACTAGATCAATATGACCATTATTACCTGCTGCTTACAGTCAATTCAGACAACACTGTGCAGAGGAGATGGGCTGCCTGCTTTTTAAAGATTGATAAACCTTTAAGTGACATCAGAGATGCTATTTTCAGAGTGTAACTTCTGTTTAATTCTAATATTTTGCTCGTTAAAGTGAACAAAACAAAAACAAAATGATATAAAACAAGGGTATGTATTTTTAATGCAACCTTTTCAAGATGTTTTTTTTAGTAAAATAAAAATGTTTAAAAAAAGACACACTATTGCTCTTACATTTTGGGTTGGAGTGATGTCCCTGAGTGGAGGGACAGTGCAGCTGCACTTCTGTTTGAACTGACACACTCTAAATCTCTGAACTGAATGTACCTTCAGTGAAACTTTCAACTAGTTTCTGTAATAAAGTCAAACATTTGGAAGGTTGTGCATGTGCTGGTGCTTATTCAACCCAACAGTGTCTGATAAAAGTATGTTTGACTGTGTACACTAAGCAGATGCTGTGCAGTAATGAGGGGGTAGAGAGGCTAAGCTGGATCAGCTGAGTGGCTGTGACTCAGGCTGGCCTTTGCTCTGCTCCTGCTGTATGTGCGGCCAAAGCAAAGAGAATGTCTGTATAATCTGTCTCCACACTTGATCAAATACATATTTTATTCATTCATAGCAATAGTGGGCCGGGCAGTGGGGAGCTGAGCTGTGAGAGCCTGCACATATACTGCTGTGTACACAATGATGTCCTTTCATATTTGTTCTGCTGTTTGAATGTGATTGCTGTGTGTGTTGAAGGCTGAACTTCACACTGCACTAAATTGCAGCATGTGGGTGGGATTGAATTTCATTTTGAACAACAAAAATTCATTTTCTACTATGAGCTTGTATACAAATGTGTTAAGTCAGATTCTGAAAGTATTTCTGCATTTGTAGAGGGACACTAAAGTTAACAGACTGAATGAAAACTTGGGAGGGAATTGGCAGTGTGTCACAAGACGCCTCCTGAGCTGTACACAGTGCAGAGCTGCAGCACTTTGTTCAGGGAGCAAGGGAGAGAGGAGAGAGAGGAGAGAGGGGAGGGGCGCAGTGTCCAGATGGACTTGTGTTTGTGTGCGATTCAGTGACTGCTGCTGGGAGCTGGCTGTGCTGTCTAACTCAGTACATGGGCAGAGGTGAAGCTCCATCTAACCCTGTCCTAAAGGGGCTGCTGTTTGGGCTTCTGTGGGTACTCTATGCAGCTCAAGGTCAGAACAGCTGCAAACCGCATGAGAGGTGAGCACACGCTCTGCCGCTGTCATCACTCTGGACTATGGTTATGGCGGCCAGGACTCTGACAAGGATGTAGGCCTTCAGACTGTCACTTCTCAGGATTGTCCCATGAACAGAGGGAGCGGAATGGGCCCAGCGTCCTTGCAGCAAGAGAGACACACAGAGAAAGAGAAGCCTAAAGGAGAGATGGACAGTTATCACAGTCTTTTACAAGCGTCATCACAGCTCCAGAGCACTCTGCAGCGTGAGTACACACTGCACACTAGTCCTCATCTAACCTCTGTTTGTTAACTGCTCAAACAGTATACTCTTGTAAAGCCACAATACACAACAACTGGATATCAAATATTAAATTCATGTAATTTCAAATTGATTTTGATTTGGTTTTAACTAATGTTATGTCTACACACACTGCAAATTGTTGCTCATCAGAAGTATTGATGTGCTTATTCCTGCAGCTTTGCTTGCAGCGTGGGCCATTGCAGAGATTAAGTCAGCTATTTTAAGCCAACACAGATGGATGTTTTTTGCTCATAGTAATAGTTTACTCATAGTAACAGTTGCAGTCTTCAAAGTGTAGACAAGTGAATTAAAGGCATATTTCTAATCTTCTAATCTAATTTTAATCTAAGCAGCATTGTCTCAGGAAACGTCCTTACAGAGTAGGAAAAGAAGTTTAGTTTATGTTCCTTTTAGCAGTTGTGCAAAGCAGCTTTGGCTCTGGTACAAATTTCAACAACTGCAAATCAAATGGGCCTATATGCCTGTAGGTTTAGCTGTCTCTAGGCCTAATGTGATTACCACAGGGACTTGGCGGCCTGAATTATATTTGAATTGATGGACCACTGCATTCCTCTATTTCATTTGAGCATCATTGCTTGTGCTTTTCAGACACTGCAGCTTAATGTGTACTCATACCTACTCAGGTTGTGTGTCCATTGTGAAATATGAGCCAAACCATCAGCCTTTGTTCAAATCCATGTATTCAGAGCACATGGGGTAGAACAACATCATTGTGACTGATAGATTGGCTGCCCTGTCCAATGAGGGGATTAAACAAACCTTAAACCTTTCACACTGACATTTTATGTCATTTTATGTCAAATAAAGATTTGCATTTCTGTGAGGTATATATCAATGTTTAGTTTGACTGATGATTTATCTGAAATTGCTGAACTATAGGGAGAATCTTACTGATTGTGGAAATTATCACTGCTACTAAATAATCATACTAAACAAGACACGGTGTCTTCTGACTTTTATAAAAGCATGTTACACACTTTGACTCAAAATAATGTGCTGGTTGTGAATATGTAGTTCTTCAAACTCAAAGGCAGAGTGAGGCTGTTCTGGGAGACATGGCTTGTTAACATGTCTGCTACACAAACTACAACGATTAGTGACTCACACGATACAACTACTGTGTTACATAAGGTATTAGCCCTTTCTGTATTTGGCATAAGCTGAGTAAAACTAGATGATTGTCAGAGTTTGGTCAACAGTGAAAGAGTAGTGATTGATCCCCACTAAGCATGTCTGCTCATAGGCTTAACTTTCTGCAGAAAAGGTCAGAGACACATTTTGATCATTAAACATACATGCAGCCATCGTCTCTCATTCTCTCACACTGTGCATATAAGACATATTCATTAAATTCATTTCGGGTCTGTCTCCTGAATGTCTAGTGGCTCACAACATAACTGATATAACAGCAGAAGCGTGACTGAAACTGAGCCTTCTTTACACGTCACATGAATGGTGTGTGCGTGTGTGTGCTTGTGTGTGTGTGTGTATGCCTGTGTGCGCGTGCGCGTAGGTGTGTGTGTGCGTGTGTGTGTGTGCGTGCGTGTGAGAGAGCTGCTCCTGACAGGCCCCACTCATCTCTGTTATGAGCATGAAATATTCAGCAGGCAGTAGAGATGTTTACTACCAGTTAATAAAATTAAGCTAAAACAAAGTCAGAAGAGTAAGAACAGGCCATATGGTCAAATAAAATAAAATAAATTATTTTCCTGTTCAATAGGGCTCTGTGTTCATTTAAATGCAATGTGTGTGACTTTTAACTGATAAGAACTTGTTACTTAATGTTGCAATATGTAACTTTTCTGGTGGAGGATCCACCACCTACTTGGTTCCATGGAGATGTTATTACTTTGCCTGGAGAATGCCCACAGTGTGCATGAAACTTATCTTCATGGAGTGATGCCAACAGACTAAGTTACAGGTCAGATCTGTGAAGAGATGAGAACTCTTTATATTTATATTATCTTTATATTTATTATATATTTTCAATATATTTTCAGCAATAAAAGCACTTGTAAAGAAATGCATGTAATATCAGATATGTTTAATGACAATGCAATAATATCCCCATGGAGACAAGTAGGTAGTAGTTCCTCCACTGGAAAAGTTACATAGTCCGCCTTTAACTGAACTTTTTATTAATAACTCAATGAGTAAATTGTTCAATAATCCCATCAATATGCACCACATGTACTGAGGTGTAACTTAAAACCGAACTGAGGCAGTTTAAATTCTCTATACTCTAGCTCTAAACAAGCTAATGCACTTTAATATCCCCAGATGTATTTAGTGGTCTGCAGAGGACCTGCCAAAGGAACAGGAACATGCCACAGGAATACAGGAATACAGGAACAATATTAGCACAAAAGGTTCCCAACTGCATTTAACTGCATTTATTCCTCTAAAACGGCATGATCTGTTGCAGTTTAAACTTGGATTTTACAGAAACTGCTTTTTGAGATATTGATATGGATCACTATTTAGTTTTTGGTTGTATTTATTTTATGGTAGTCCATTTGCCTGATAATTATTTGATGAATGTTATTAGTGATGGCTGTAACAGGTTTTACTGTGTATCTTGATGCAGAGGTGACGGTGCCCATCAGCATGAAGGAAGTAGGAGGCTTCATAGAGAAGCAGGTGGCCTACTTGTCAGGTGAGGCTCTGTGTGTTGTGTTTGAAAACACTGTCTTTAGTTTTTAGGTAACTCCTTGCTCTGTTTCCCTGTGCTGTTTACAGGGGGCCGTGGGGAAGACTCCAGTGTTATAATCACACTCCCAGAATGCTCAGCATTCAGCGACATTCCTGAAGAAGCTTTAGCCAAAGTCTTTACATACCTCACACTCATTCCCCGGTAGTTTTTCTTCTGTATTCACCTCCCTATTCTGCACTGCACCAAATTCCTGTAAAGCTTCACTTCACTCCATCTACAGCCCCAAATCTCATTCTCACATCTGAAACTTAATGTGGATATGATTCAAGAGTCTAGTGGCTTACATCAGTAAAAACAATTGTTGTACTTAACTAGCAACGACTGTTTCTGCACATCACTTGGTAATTATATCTTTCCATGCTATCTCTATAGAAAAAGGCAACCCGGCGTCAAGTTCATAATCATTTTAGATCGAAGACTGGACACTTGGCCATCCATCAAATCTGCACTTGCAAGAATATCAGTGAGTCTGACATGTTTTACAACTATCAAAACTTATCAAAACTACAGATCAATATTCCTAGTTGGCTCCATGCCATACTTAATAATAAGGGTGAATTGTATTTGTTGTGCGCTGTCTATGGTGCTGAAACTTACATGGAAACGCACTGCAATGTTTAGTGGCAGCTTCTCTTCAAGTTTATTGCTGCAAATGCGTGACTCAGCACGAGCGGCTGGTGATGACGCGGGCTGAGCAGAGCTCTAGGGGAGAGGGAAAGTTTGCAGAGGGAAAGGGCAGCGGCGGATTGTAAGAAGGGAAAGAGTCCTATTGCAACCGGAAACATGAACATGGCCAGCAACGCGAGGACTGACTGCTTTTACCGACCGCGAATGCCGAGGATCCACAGAAGCCCGGTAACGAGCAACATTTTACATCACGCAGTGGCAGAGTTTAGCGGGAAGTTTTGGGCGGGCGTGCAGACTGCGGCAGAGGTGCCAGTAGCTGTAGCTCTGCAGTGCACAGTGCTGTGTCATGCGATTGTCTGCGGTCTTTGCGCGGGCTCTGAAATCTAAACCAGCGGTTCATGCACGTTTATTCCGAAATAAAATAAATGGTTATTGATCGTGTGATGCGCCAGGAGGGCATATGAATGTCACGCGTGCTGCCGTATTTATTACGTGCCGAATTTACTCTGGGTTTTTATAGAACATTAAAAAGTAGCCACCTCCTTTCCTGATTTTAGTTATATATTAAATTAAGTTATTTAATTCCACCACAATGTCTTTGTAGCTGACTGTGTAAAAGTGCATGTCATTTTGATGCTTTTGTGTGTGTGTGTGTGTGTGTGTGTGTGTGTGTGTGTGTGCGTGTGTGTGTGTGTGCGTGTGTGCGTGTGTGTGTGTGTAGATGTGCTGTAAAAAGGTATGTTTACATAAACTAGCTTTTGCTAACTTAGACTGAGACCAACTTGATTCACAAGAGAAATTACTTGGGCACAGTAGCTTACACATTACAACAATATAAATGGTAATTTCTTAATACAATAAATACAAAATGTATCTAGGCTCTTTACAAGAGGTGGAGGAATGAGAAACAGTACAAAGATGACATAGTGAGTTTAAATGACAGTATTATCTACTGCATAAGGGCGAGTTGTTGTACAGTTGTGTGGAATATGTTATAAATGTAGAAATCTAATATGGTATAAATGTAGTTATGTTAAAAATTAAAGGCTGATGAAAAAATGGGTTTGTTTTAAAAGACCGATGTTTAAAAGCTCATTACATTCGTATATGTAGTATGTTCATATTATTCACATATTAACTTATTTTAATTGTCTCCTGTTTTTGAGGCATCCTTTCCTGGCAACCTTCACCTGGTCCTGGTGCTGAGGCCCACCAGCTTTTTCCACCGCACTGTCACTGATATTGGTTTCCGCTTCAGCCAAGAGGACTTCATGCTTAAGATGCCAGTAAGGAAGATCTCCTTCAGTTACCAAACATGTCCACCACATGGTAGGCCTACATCATGTTCTTCAATTCATTTTACAGAACTCAGTGTCAAGACAGGATATCAAAATGTATTGTACAATCTTATAGGTTGTGTCAAACATAGGGAAAAGTTTGTTCTGAAACTTTCTTCATTGTTTTTGTGGTTCTTTAGGTGGTCATGCTGAGCTCAGTGACAGACCTACTGCACTACATTGAAGAGAACCAGCTCACATCGGAGTTTGGAGGCACATTGGACTACTGCCACAGTGACTGGATTGTTTTACGAACAGTAGGCAATACACAACCATCACAATTCATTAAGTCATATACAGTGACTAAAATGTGCTATACTTTGGTGAACAGGCGATAGAGAGTTTTGCTGTGACAGTCAAGGACATAGCTCATATGTTACAGACTTTTGGCACTGAAGTGGCTGAGACTGACCTACCAAATGAAGCAAAAAACACTGAGTGCCTTCTTGAATCCCAAACTAACAAATACGGGAAACTCAAGGTAAGGGTTAATATATAATATTACAGACAGGTAGTAGTGTTACATATATGTTATAATTATGTTATGGTTTGAATGACCTGTAACCAGAATAGAGTTGAATTATGCTCAGTTATTTATGCTTTTCTTTGACAGGATGCAATCAGAACTGTTTCAAAAGAGGGCTGTCATCTTCTCTCAAATCTACAGACTTCTGGCAAAGGGGACTCTCACTGGGATGTGCGGCTAGACACAGAAACTGTGCAGAGGTAAAGAAACTAGTGCTTAAAAAATCAGGCGAACTTGTGGAATATTGGTATGGTCAGTAAACTAGCCAAGGGGGTAGTTAGTTATGATGTTGATAAAAATATGCATATAAATATGACAGGTTCTCAAGAGAGGCAACAATGAAATGAACCCCAATACTGTTAGGGTACCATAGCTATTTCCTTAATCTGGGGCAAAGCAGCTTATTAATGAGGTAGACAAACTAAAACTCCCATCTGAGCTCAAATTTGCTTTAAAACCAAAATTCACTTCTACAGCGTCCTGTGCATTTCAAAGACTCTGAAAAGCATTGCTATTGGGACACAATTTTTTTTTTAACCTGTATTTAACAACATATGCTTAAAATTTTTTCTTATATATTGCTATCCTTTAGACTTCTAGCTCAACTCAGAGACATGGAGTCTGCTTTTGATGGTTTCTTTGAAAAGCATCACCTGAAACTACATCAGTACCTACAGTTACTAAGATATGAGCAGAGCTTCCAGGAGGTAACAGTCTGTTTCCTTGTTTCATCAAAATCACTTTTATTTATTGATATTATTTACTTTATCCCCACCACTGTCCTCAGATGGAGATGTGTTTGGAGCACCTCTTGACTAAGGAGAAGGACCTGCCTTCATCTGTTGACAGTCTTCCTCAAGCAGAGCAGGCTCTTAAAAAGATAGACACACTTGAGTCAAGTGCACTAGTATGTTATTTTTTGCTAACATGAAAGTAAATAAGTAAGTTATTTTGTTTTTACATTATATGAACCACCTTCAGGATGTGATGTCTCGGGCCCAGATCATAATCCTTCATGGACATCAACTGTCTGCCACTCATCACTATGCCATGGCTCTCATTATGCAACGCTGCAATGAGCTGCGGCATTACTGTGATACTCTGAATGCAGCTCTCAAGACCAAGCACACTCGTCTCCTGCAAGCCCACCAGTTGCTGCTCTGTCTGGGAAAGGTATTATCACTTCAGCACTCACAATTAGGAAGATGAACCGTGTCTATGCCTGTGTCTTTTGGGCTCTCCCTGTATTTAGGCCCAGACTTGGTGTGATGATGGAGCGTATCTGTTGGCTAGTCAAGTTGGAAATAAGTACCAGTCCAAAGAAGGAGCTCAGTCTGCTCTAAAGGATATTGAGAACTTCCTGCAGGGGGCGCCAGCAGTACTGAGCTTGGGGCCTGAGATTGTAGCTACTGAATATGAGCCTGTTATTACGTCACATCTGCAGGTAAACAATTGGACCTTGTTTGAGTTGTTTTTTAACTGAGTTTCAGAGTGTCCAAGCTGAATATATCTGTTTCGTGCATTTTCAGTCTCAAATACAAAAAACTTTTACAAAACATGCAACAGTGCAGCAAATGATTCAGAATCGACAGAACTGTCTTAGGAAGCTTGCAGACAAGCACATACGACCGGTGCAGCTTGTGGCGCCAAGAGCTGAAAACTCTCCACGCTCCAAGTCACCTCTCTTCTCTCCTAAGAACAGTATGTACATGATAATATATATAACACAAACAATCCTGAAATGTAACATATTTCCACAAACAACTCACAAACACTACTTTTTCCTCAGTCCCCTGATATGTTGTTGTATGATCTGATATAGCACAGGTCTGCCTGTCTGCTCCCTCTGGTTCTATATTTTCCTTTAGGCTCAAGCCCTAAATTAGCACATCACAGGGGTGTAGTGAGCTGGCTTTAGGTGGTGCTGAGGAGGCTGCTGGGTTAACAGGAGCCTTAACAAACAAGCTGAACAAGGGAGCAGCTCTAATCAGTCCCCAGAGACAAACCTGACACGTGTGTTAGTTAGGCTGCTGCAGACACATACTATGTGTTTCATATACATTAAAGCACCTTTCATCTCTTTGTGTCTTGAGGGAGGTTACTCAGAGCTCACCATACAGTGATATCCAATTAGAACTGTGTGCTATGTATTTATTTCATTTTATAAGTTTTCATTCAACAATATTTTGTCTATAAAAGGATTAATATCCTTTTAACATTTGTGCATCCATACCTGTAAGGGTTTATACACATTAATTAGATAATTCGAGTACATACAAGAAAGACAATGAGGGTGATTGGAAAAGCCTTTGAGGCTGGCTTCAAAACTCCAGTGAACAGCCTCTTAAGATGGGAGATGAAGGGGAAAGTGGTTAGCTTTGATTGACTTGATCTGCTACATGCATACACGCATGCATAAAGATCTCTGATGAAGATGTAACGTGGCACATGGAAGCGTCCAACCCTCACATGTGCGTGGACTCTGTGGGGCTGGCCTTGTGATGGAGGATTCTGCTGCTGAGATCAAAAGCACACAACCAGCAGTGCCAAAGTACTCATCTAATGCTTGCCTTTAAATCTGCACATACCTCACCTTGTGAGAAGCGCTCTATTACCCATGATGATAGCAACTGTCAGTCATTAATGATTAATATTTTATAACTCACGTAACAATGTGGAAAGGTCATGAGGGGGGCACATGCTGGTGCTAGTTCAAATGGAGCAGTTAGGAAAAATAATTGTGTGAAATTCTGTAAGCTCCTAAATGACCCCTACCCTTTGAGAATAGGGATGTGCTGCACTCTGTATGAGGTTATGTTTTAATGAGCTGGGCCTGATGTGGCATTTACAGGTGACGGTTTGAAGTTCACATTTGACCTTTCACTACCTGGAAAAAGGACATCAAAAAAAGGCATCAACCCTAGAAAGGTAACACTACTGTCTTATATTCATTTGTATAGATATAAATATATAACATTTTCTTTCTTGCACTACCTAGATTGAAGTAATCCACGACTACCAGGAGAGCCGCAGTTGCTTGTCATACAGTGTGGAGGGAGAGGACAGCCCAGACGTCCTAAAGCGGTGAGCAGGAGATCCTCACCATCTCACTTCTGGATTCTTTTTGTTCATAGCTAATGTTGCCTTGTGGCTATATTTGTGCCTCCTTTGTGTCTGTTTTGTCTGGGTAGACGTGTAATGAGGGAACTGATAGAGACCGAGAGGATGTATGTGGAGGAGCTTCTGTCTGTGCTATTGGTAAATAATTATTTCTGTTTTGGTTAAACCCAGGTATATCATTTTTTATAGTCTGCTTTGTAACATCATAGGGTTATAGAGCTGAAATGGAAAACCCAGCTCTGTCTAGCCATCTACCTCTGGATTTAATTAGCAAGAAAGACATTCTCTTTGGAAATATGCCCGAGATCTACAATTTTCACAGCAGGCAAGTGAATAATGATAAGAATTAGCTTTTTTTTTAAAAACATCATCAAAACCACTGTGATTTGGGTGTATGTTAATAACTGTAATAATGACTTCACATGTTTTATTGCTGATAAATGTAATAGTACTCCATCACTCACTATTTGTAACTGTACTGGTGTATAAATGGCCAGAACTGTTACATGCATGACCATATTTTGAGTTTTACTTCCTGACTCTTGAACTATCTCTGTTTATAGAGTTTTCCTACAGGATCTTGAAGCTTGCCTTGAGACCCCAGAAGCAGTTGGAGCCTGTTTTCTAGAGAGGGTAAGACTTACACTCTGTCCTTGATATACTAAGGACAAAGAGATGTATAAATTTGGTTGCGGTTGCTCTCAATTCAATTTCAGAAAGACTGTTTTCAGATGTATGAGTGCTACTGTCATAATAAACCACATTCAGATGCATTGTGGAGGCAGTTTTCTGACTGTGTATTCTTTCAAGTGAGTTTGCCACTTCCCACAAACTGTTTACCTGGTCTAGTACTCAACACGGTGACTCATCTTTTTGTTATTATGAAGGAATGTCAGAAAAAACTAGAGCACAAACTGGGCCTTGATTCTTACCTGCTAAAACCAGTCCAGCGCCTGACTAAATACCAACTGCTGCTTAAGGTGAGGACCATTGTGTGTTTTTATTGTTTAAGACATACCTTTTAAAATTGCCTTTACTGTTAAGGAGCTGCTGAAATGCTGTGGCACGGACTCTGAGGGAACATCAGATCTGCAAGAAGCTTTAAATGCAATGTTGGATTTAGTCAAGTCAGTTAATGACTCCATGCATCAAACAGCCATCACAGGATACGAGGTAAAAGAGCTCTTGTGATGATGGGTGGATGAGTGACAAAATAATATATTCTTTATGAATAATAAAGATTGGTGCATACAGGGAGACCTGTGTGAACTGGGCAAGATGCTAATGCAGGGCTCCTTCAGTGTGTGGATCAGCCATAAGAGAGGTGCCACTCGTATGAAAGAGTTTGCTCGCTTCAAACCCATGCAGAGGCACCTGTTCCTCTATGAAAGGGCCCTGCTCTTTTGTAAACGCCGTGAGGAACATGGAGATGGCTGTGATAAGACGCCTTCATACAGCTTTAAACACTGTCTCAAGGTGTGTTCACATTCTCAGAATGCTGTGTGTGAGTGTGTGAAGACCTGACATCGCAAAAAAAAAAATTGATATTACAATAAATCATTTTATCTGATAAATACACACTACATAGTATGACTATAACTGTGGACCTACACCTTATTAAATGTTATCAGTTATCAGTATAAATTAATTGATTATATAGATTGGTTTGATCTGTGTTCACAGAGAATATTGTTGACAGTAAATTTGACAGTAAATTAATCACTAACAAATTTGTTTTTAAAATTCAATTATGAATTACACATCTATAGATCAGATCTATTGCACTCACTGTTCATCAGACTCAAGGAGACTCAGTATTTGAGTGACAGTAGCTGCTCCTGATCTCCTGATCCTGAGGCTGAACATATGCTGACAGATGTTACATGATGTAAGGCTGCTTTATGATGCTTCTGTGTTCCTGCATTGGCTCTATGTCTCCTGACAGATGACTGCTGTGGGAATCACAGAGAATGTTAAAGGAGATGTCAAAAAGTTTGAGATCTGGTACAGTGGCAGAGAGGAGGTCTATGTGATTCAGGTGAAGGCATACACCTGCATCTTCATTAAAAAGTATTGGACTTAAATATCTGCAGCTATTTGTTTTTGCGTGGCAGGCTCCTACACCAGAGGTAAAGGCAGCATGGTTGAATGAACTGCGCAGAATACTAACAAACCAACAGAAGCTCCTAAGAGGTACAAGAGCTTACTAACTGCACATTTCACTCACTCACTGGCAATTACATAATAAAGGCACTTGTATATTAATATATAAAATGAAATTATGAATATAGATAAAACTATAAAGTAAATATTTTATTTTTACAGATGAGGCTTATCAGCATAGTCCTATGTGTGGGCTCATGCAGCTCTCTCCAGCTCTGTCAGAAAGGTCAGTCTCTTTTTACATTGGGTTTGTTCAAGGTCTTGCGTACATACACTTTCAACACAGCTTCTTGAGTAGTGTGGGACAGTGTATGACAAAGCTCACTGTGTCCAGTGCTGTTTCGTTGCCTCTCCCTCCTGCTCCCCTTCCCCCCCTGCAGGGGCATGCGTCCATCCAGAGGGGTCCCCAGGGGCTGTGTCCCGGGCCTGGCTGTGTCTCTGTCTGCAGACCTGTTTCTGTGCCTTCGCTCCCGGAGCCCCCGGCCCCGCCCCCACCCACACCGCCACTGACCTGCCCTATCGCTCAGTGGTAACTTAGTTTAGCTCTCCTTGCTCTGGCATGAACCACCAGGCCCTGCTTAGTTCCAATCCAGAGCTACTGTGCATTGTGTCACCTGTCCATTATTAAACCTCCATCCTGGTTCATAACAGTATGCTTTTCCTAATACTATAAACACACTTTGTTTTTCATCTGTTACCATTTATAAATACATTGGACAACAGTGTTGTATTCCTCATTACTTTCTTTAGCTGCTGGTAAGTGGTAATACAGTATTAGGCTCAAGGACGTTTTATTCTGCTGCTGCATCCTTAATACATCTGTAGTCTATGCACATCAAGGCTTTTGTTGCATTGACACATAACATAACACAACATGAGCCCGCCATTCCAAGAAAAGAGAGGCTTGGCGATGGTTACTCTGTGCTGCTTTGCTCCTGAATGGTGCCTGATGGTAAGGCTCTGTCACAGAGTTGATCCTGGACACTGGGCATGTGTCCAAGGATGGGTTCTGTGTCGTGTGCATGCATTCCTATGATGGACTAACAGATCTGTTTTGGTGTTGTTCCTATAGCAAGCAGCAGAGGGCATCTGTGAGCTCAGAGGACACAGAGTCAGGCCGGAGCAGTCCAGACCCTCAGTCTAGTTCTCCGAAACGACAAAACCGCAGGAGTGAGTTTTTAAAATGTATCGGTGGGTGTCTGGGTGAATGTCTTGGTGGGCTTCTGACAGGTTGCCTGACTGCTTTTGAAGAAATTAAAGAATTGGGCCAGTGCAGAGAGTGAATTTGCCTCATGAGGGATTAATAAAGTTTACCTTATCCTCAGTATATGTGGCTATGAACAAAATATTTGCATTAATGTCTGTTCAGAGCGAAAGTAAAAACATGTCTTCATCAAAAACATTTCAGGTTGGCCAGGAGCTCATCAGACCACAGACATGTGCGAGGCTGTGGACAAGTGGTCTGCAGATGGTGATCCTTTCCAGCCGTCGGACTCAGAGGCAGCTAGTCTGCTGACACTGGTAAAACTCTACCAAACAACAATGATAAAAGTTACATTAAGTTACATTTATTAATGAGAACTGTATTTTCTGTCTTAGACCCCAGGCAGTTATAAGGCTTTGGCAGACTGCCCTCAGGATGAAACTAAAAGCATTATGATCAAGTCTGGAGACATTCTTCAGTTGCAGCAGGAGGACAAGCCCAGTCTATGGTGAGTTTGTAGCATGCTCTGACACTGCACAACTCATTTAAAAGAGACACTACAATCCAGTATCTTATATTCCCCCAATATTATGCTGTTGATATCAACCTGTTGTTGTCAGGCTATCCAGAATATATAGAGTCTTTACTGATCAAATTGATTTACTTTTAGTTCAACTGACAAACAATTAAATGATTGTAGTAAAAGTGGAAAAAAGAAAAAACCTTGAGAAGAACCACACTGATTTGCTCACATCTTGAATTTGGATGCGGCCATAATATGTGTATCCTAATATGTCAGGAGAAGGACTTTTAACTTGTAATTCCTGTTAATATTCATGTTGTTACATTTTGAACCAGAAGAAAACTTGGAGGCCAACAGGAGTTAAACTGTAATATAACAAATGTGTGGATTCTCTGTGTCACGTTTTGAATAATCAATCCTGCATTTCATAGTATTGATTGAATATTTTAGTACAATTTTCCTACAAGTTTCAGTCAAGACAAGTTTCCTTCTCATAAATCTGATATGCTGATTTAACTGCTGTAGGCTTGTGAAAAACCTAAGTCAGCAAGAGGAGGGCTTCATATCAACAGCTAGTCTGCGGTCTGTGTTAGTACCTTTTGGCAAAGGTCAGTCATGCAGACTAGGAGGTGAGTTCCTCTCCTAAATGTTTTTTTACATTCTGGATGAACTGTTTGATTCATACTTTGCTGTTGTAGAGCCTGCTACTCTAAAGATGAGAAAACTCAGCTCTCCATAGACTGGGTGCAGTCTGACTGTAAAGTGTCTGAGGAGCTGAGTTTGAGCTGTCTGCTCTTTCACTGTGGTGCTGAGTGGGCTTTTGCTGTAGTTTACACATAAAGGCAATCCTGGGAAAATCAACAGCCGAGCTGTGGACACTGACTTTATTACTGGATGTTTTTGCTCCAGGCCTTCATTTTCTGACCATTTTTCCATTGCAGCTAATTCCTGAGAAATCAATTTGTATTTGCACATCTAAGATTTTTTTTTACATGTTTTATATTTTTTCTATGTAAATTATTTGAAAATGTATTCATCAACAGTTTCAAAATTCAGCAATTTAAATGCCAAATCACTAATATTTGCATTTTGTATACTTGTTTCTCTTCTCAGTTTGCAAAATATTAGCTTTAACCTGAACTCAGATATATTTACGAAGCACTTTATTAAGATAAAATGCATAAAATATCTTCTCTGTCTTCTCAGCTTGACTCTATGCACTGGTCTGTCAGTTTAAAAGCTCTTATAGAGTGTGTTTACTGCTGTACGCGTGTGCTGTGCTTCAAAAGTGACACGCACTTTGCCTGTGGCCAACAATTGGTGCATCGCTGTTGCTTTAGACTGATAAAAATGGATGCCGCAGTGTCAGTAGGACTGGTATTCCTCCAGCCCTCACTTTGGTCCTGATGCTAACTGTTACAGTGGACTCTTCTTACTCCTCGTTACCGCACTGTTAGTCTGAGCTCTTCAATTAAAAGGGATCATACAGCTGACATGAAATATCCCCTCCGTGATGAACACTTAATGAAATATTGATAGCAGTCTTAGATGAATTTGCCACATCAAATCGAGACCCCAGTTGGAGGGATGCCTTTGATTCACATCGTTTGATATGGAAATTAGTTTTTAAAGCTGCAGGAAGTGCACGCAATGCTTTTCCTATGTTGCTAACTTATTTATTATTTTTGCTGTCATGTTGTTTCTTGATGTTATGTTGAAAATGTGCAGCCCAAATATGGACTGCTTTTGTTTCTTCCTTTTTGCTTCTCTCCAAATTTATTTTGATATTTTATTGTATTTCTCAAATCCTAATGCTGCAGATTTTGCACATTTTTTCATTTTTAGAAAACAAAATAATGCTTGAAAAGTTATGAATTCTGATGAGCCAAAAGGCCTCTGCCTGCTGCTGATTTTTCATTAAAAACTTGCACAGTAAATTAACTGAAGCAGTTAGTGTCTTAATGTAAAAGATTTCATCTGCCTTTTTTGTACTGAACAAGAGCTGCATTATGAAATAAATATGCATTTGATATCATTGAGATGTAAATCATTTGAATTGATTGTGATTCATGATTTTATTTTATTAATTATATTCAACATGCCATTTATTGCTGCTGTTCAAATTACTAAAGGGTTTATTTTAACTAAATCTGAAACTGTTTGGCGTCCATCTTATGCTGTCTCAGTAACATTGTCAAAGTGGTCATCCACATCAGATTCCAGTGTGTGTTTGGTGATTCCCATCACATACTTGATCCAGCTGTAGTAGAATGACACTCTGGTGTAAACCCCGTACTTGCCCTTTTTGGCACACTCCTCCCCCCAGCTCACGATGCCTGTCAGGAACCATGTGTCCCGGTGCAAGTTGGCATGAGGACCCCCACTGTCCCCCTGACAGGCATCTTTAGCCTCACTGAAGTAACCCGCACAGAACATGGAGGGAGTGATCCTGGCACTGCTCGTCTCTTTGCAATGGATACGGTCAGTGAAAGGTACCTCCACTTGCTGCAGGGCTCTAGACATAGAGCCCAAGAAGCGCGTTCGGCCCCAGCCACTGACTGTAGCTGGAGAGGTCCTCTTCACCAAAGCCTCTGTGAAGGAGCGGGGCCCCACACAGATGGGCCTCACAGTGGAAGAGAAGGAGATTTGGGTCTTTAGATATAACAGGGCAATGTCATGATCGTACAGGCTCACACTGGTGTTATAGCGTGGATGTATGTAGCGTTTCAACACTTCATGATCCTGCTCTGTGCCTTCTTTGATGGAGAGGTCATGCTCCCCTGTGGATAAAAACAAAACAATAATTTCTTCTTTTGATATAATATAATAATACAAATTTAGTCAGCAGACTTTGTCTCTCTTACCCACTCGAATAATAAAGGAGTCGTGAGGAGCCTCGACTATGCAGTGAGCAGCAGTGATAACCCACCATCTGCTTAGAATAGACCCTCCACAGAATAAGCGGCCACTTGGATGAGCTATCAGAGCAGCCTGGACATACATGGGAAGAACAATTATACAAACAGATGTTTATTGCTAAACTGGATGAAACATTTCCCAATAAGCATTTCAAGTGCAGGTTCAATGTATGTGTCAATTCTAGATGAATGTAATAATTATATAAATTAGTATACATGACAAACTTGCAGACCTCAAGGCATTGCTTCTAAATCTATTACATATATAATTATTTAATTTAAGTGACTGATTACAAATACAGGCACTTATAATGCTGTGCTGCCCTCTACTGTTCTGGCTGGATTCTGAACTGCATTTGGCTGAGAAAGCAGCTTTCATTGCTTTGATATATTATATAGATGATATCACAAAAGGTTGTGATGTCAAAGTATCAACATTCACTATTGTATCACAAAAGATTATGGCATATTACAAATTGAAGCCACCCCTATGCATTCAAAGTCAAGTGGCTGCTTTGAAACAAAGCTACATAACCTGTCTCATCTTCCTCTGCATGAGGTCTGACTCAAAACTACGTTTGATGCCACTTTAAGCCAGTACCTTCTGGTCTGTCTCACTATCTGTCTGTCCTAGTTTTCCTTAAGTTTTTCTTCAGACTTACTACTCATATCAAAAGATGACACTCTTTTTATGGAGTTGTTAACAGTCATGCCTCACAGCCATGTGCGACTGCTAAAACACAACATCTGAGCTGTTTACCTTAGACTGTAAGACTAATGTTCAGTCTCATCTTTGCACTCCCAAAACTTTGTCTTAGCTTGTTCAACTTTACATTTGACTATTCGGTCACTTATTAATATTCATATACGTCATATGTGTAAGCATAATCTTTCATATATCAGGCATAAAATTTCAGTATTTAATATTTAGATGTTTCTGAGTGGTGTGCTTTTACCTGCCAAGGGATCTCCCCTTTGGAGACTAGTTGCCCTCCTACAATGCGTTTGATAGCTTTCCTTGGTTCTTCAGTTGGGGTCAATGTATTGTTGAACACCCAGTGGGGCAGTTTTATAACTGGATAAGTAGATGTGTTTGTGTCCAGAGAAGGAGCTGCTGTCATTGTGGTGATATTGTCTTTGGACAAGGACCTTTTGACAATCTTTATTAAATCTAGAAAGACTGTTCTACCACATGGGAATTCATCTAGAAACAAAATAACTTGTAAAAATATTGTTAATGTGATAAATAACATGTATATTACCTTCTGGTGCACAATCCTTCCCATTCTCCAGCAGTGTATAACCCAGTGCACAGGAACATCTGGCCCCAAAGGAACCCGTAGACTCACAGAAGTGCATGCAATGCCCATTGTTTACATCACATCTTCTGGCTACAACTAATTTATGAAACAAATTCACTAAGGTACATGCATGTGCAAAAACATCACCACACAAGTCAGACAGTGGTTTTCAGCATTCATGAAAATGTAACTTTATACTGTATATGGATTTTTGGTTAATTGTATTATTATTGGCTTTCAAATGTATTTTAACATTTCATATTTGAATTTTAAATGTTCTTATTTTGTTTATTGATATCTTACCTATCTCACAATTCGTTCCAGTAAAGCCAGTCTCACACAGGCAGGTGTAGAAGCCAATGTGGTCGTTACATGTACCCTGGTTCAGACATGGACTAGATGCACACTGGTTACCATCTGAGACAACAGAAAAACAGAGCTAGTCCTGCATCATGATAATATACCAACATTTAAGTAAAAAGAAATAAAAGGCTTCTTTGCTATAAGTCCAATTTGTAATTTTGTTGTGTGATTCAAACTACTAAACCAATGCACTGCAAAACAAGCTACACTACAGACACTACTGCAACTTCTAGTCTACTGCCACTTCTACATCTCGCACTTATGAGGTGAATTTATGTCAAAATATTTGCCTGAAAATGTGTTACTTCCTTCAGAAATATGATTTCGTACCTATATAGAGAGACCAGAACTCCATCTGCAAAAACATACATTTAATTCACTTCAAACAAGACGAATATTTTATCCGGACAAGACTACATTCACTTATCCACCGTTTTCTCGTCGTTTTCGAAGATCTCTCTGGCCTCCTCCAGATCACACTTCTCTTCTATACACTCTCTCTCCAGGTTTCCCTCCAGTATCTCCTCCAGCAGCCCGGTGTTGTGGCGTTTGTGACGCTGGAGTACGTCGTGTGCGCTCTGGCTTGTCAGAAACACAGTGTCCGCCACCGGGGCTGTTGCAATAAAAACATGTTATCCAATAAGCTTAATCACAACAACTGTTCAAAATGATGTCGTTTTCAACAGAAAGTCATGAGCTTATTTACCCCCAGAAATCAATGAATGACCAACCAGCACAAAAAATAACTGTTGCAGTAAAAACTTAGCCATTTCAAACCGTTATTGGCTTTTCACCTATAATTCCAAAGTACAAATCTTTATTTATTTAGGCCTAGTCTTTTCCGTTTGCTGTAGTTTTAAATTTAAACCACAAGATGGCGCAATTACTTCATTTTTTTTTGGCTGTAGATCTCGTAGTGCTGTCATTTGACAGTGCCATTGGACCTGTGCATGCTTTCTTCCAATCCCAAACACATTCTCTTGATATGATGTTGGAGTTGTGATGTAGTAGAAGTGCTGACTCAGGACCCACTGAAGGCTGAAGTGTGGAGTACCAGGGCCTGCAGCACAAACCCCCCACAGGGACTATGCACTCGTCTTCAGTGTTGGTGACTATCACAACCAGCCATTTATATTTCAGCAAATCGTTAAAGACCTCAATTATTCATACTGGAGTAAATAACACTGTCTGCTTGATGTAAGGGCTTTTGTACATCATTACCACTTATAGGACTGGATTAAAAAGAGAGTGACTTTAGTTGGGATTTCCAAAATAGCAGCATTTTTATTTTCACACTTATTTCATATGTTCAAAAAAGAAAGGTATCCAAAATGCTCATGAAGTTTTCATGTAGTTAATAAGACAGTTGTTGAATGTATTCTCTTCATATAATTGTTTAAAAATCCTTTATTTGTCTAGGCTAAATCGTTATTTGAAAATATTTTAAAAGCATGTACTGATTTTTGTTTATTTTATACCAAGGAAAACCTTGTAAAAAAGAATGTGTCATTAATGTTTTGTCTAGTAAATAAAGGTAAAAAATCTGGAAAAAAAAAAAAGCACAAAAACACAGCCTATGGGGGATGCCAAAGATTGTAACGACATTAAAATGCAGAACAACCTACAAACTAAAACAGGGACAATGATAGTGGGGAGTTTTTCCCACATTGACAGAAGGATTTGTGCAGTGAGTGATGAAGCCTTATATAGACATTTATAAGGCAGTACAATAAAGCACACTTGTCAATTGATTTACAGCCTCCTCCTGATGTCTCTGTCTCCTCAGCTTTTTGGCACAGACAAAGTCACAGAGACACAGTCAGATCCAATTAGGTTTGTCACTGGTGGATTCAGAAAGACACCGAAGACATCCTCACTGATGGTGGTGAACTTGGAAATGAAGTATTATATATATATATATATATATATATATATATATATATATATATATATATATATATATATATATATATATATATATCTATGTTCTTTGATGCTGTCACTGCACTTTTTAAACTTTTAATATTGAAAAATGCTCTTTAAATAAAGATCAGTTCAAGTCAGATACTTACACTGGTCACTAGAAGTTATAAAGGAGTAGTAGTTGGTTTTACACTGTTTACTCTTGTACTGTTTACACTGTTACTATGTTGTTGCTACATTTAATAATATCTAAGTACAAGTAAGTAGTTTTATTTCTCTTTCCAGTATCACATTATTAGGATTAATGTCATTGGTGAAATATAGTTCCAGGAGTGTGAGCCTGGGGGTAAAGGGTACTTGTTTAGCAAGGACCCAGTGTAGGGAGGGGCCTTCCTAATGTCTGAAAACAAACCCACTGAGATGGTTTGTACTCAGGGCTCAGAATTCCGTGCTACCCCCTTGGTCTGGTTCTGTGCGTGATCCTGCAGTTGTGCTGTCGGCTGTGAGATGTGCACCCAGCCTTCATGACAATTGTAAGTGTATGGCTCCTGGTCAGAGGAGGCTTCTTTGAATGTCATTAGCTTCAACAGCACTGCTCATACAGAAATCATGTCTCTTTTTGATGATTTGTACATTTTTACTAGAATTGAGACAGCTTTACAGTATTCAGTGTGCCTAATGAAGACTTCATAATCAGAGGATGTGACATCTGTCAGCCGCAATGACACATGTAGATCATACAGCCTGACTTTGTGATTTAATAGATAACAAAATGTTATGTGATGCAGGGCCAAGTCGATTAGGTGCTGTATTACAAGCACACATGACAGAAATACAGCCACACCTCTGGACCATGACCCCTCTGGTATAAATAACCATATGACCCCTGCATGACCTCTACCTCCTAGGTCAGTGTGCAGAGCTCCATTCTGAGGTGATGAGATGAATGTCCAAGTTTAACAGTCTGGTGTTGACGAAATCCATCACTTTTATGAGCAGCCACTGAAGCTACAACCACATCCAAACACAACTCATGCCTCAACAACACACTGGTCTTTCATTTATGTCAAGTCCTTTTTTTTTTTACCACAACTCTATTACTTAAGTACTTTATTATATGGTCCATTTGTCATGGATGTTGTACATGTACTTTCCTTGACACAACAAAACATATATAATTAAGGGCCCATATTATGCCTTTCGATCTATGTTATACTGTTGTTTCCTCATCAAAAACATAGCTGGAGTTGTGTTTTGTTTCATTCTCGCACATTTAACACACACACAAACCCTGCATATTTAGGCTGATTTCTTCTCTCAAACAGAAAACACTATATTCCACCTTGTGATGTCATGTTGTAATTTGGTTGATTTAATCTCTGGAATTGGCAATCTTTACAGAGCACAATATAAAAGCTAGCCATAGCTTGAAAACTCACAAAGTGGAACAGAGCATTTTGAGCGTGGAGATGTAGACAAACAAAAAAGGATTATTCAAACATATGTGAATGAAACAAAACACAACTCCAGCTATGTTTTTGAAGTGGGAACGACATTCTAACATTGCTTAAAGCTTACAAGATTTTGTGTAATATAGGACCTTTAAATCACTTGTTATTTATGTTTTAATTTGTTTAAAAAAGTTATTTTTAATTGAAATTCATTTTCATTTAAAATACACATACTTCTATACTTTTCCATTCCTTTGGTTTAATCGCTCATTGTCTTCTTCCTGGCTTGAGATGGGCACAAACTGGACTAGACTGGATGTTTCATCTGCAGTTTCTATTTTTAAAAACAATAAGTCTCAAACCTTGACCGTGGATATGAGCTGGAGGGTGGAGATTGATCTAAAAGACAAGTATTCTTTGTGAATGGGGTATTTGAGTTATAAATCCATAAATCAAGACATAAAGTTAATCAGTAGTGTTTGCTTTGTTTTGTGGCTTGGAAACAGTCCAAATTTTTCAATGTCAGATGTGATGAGTCCCCAGTGTCTTTCCATGTTGGGGCCGGTCAGTGCTTCAGGTGATGGTGTATTTTTTGGGCTGAAAACTCCTGTGTTCAGCAGACAGCATGGAGATGACTGTGTCTGTGCAGCTCTAAACCAACTGCTGGGCAAACGTGGCAGACTAAAGTGGGCTACTGTCCTGCTACAAAGGTCAAAGGGCACCACAGGCCACAGACACAATATGAACACAGCTCACTGACATTTAAACTGTTTTAACCCTTGCTAGCACTCACACTCAAAAACAATGACCAATGTTTACCAATTCACATATTATATTTCTAATTAGTTAAAAGTCGTACATGAATACAATGTAGTATTCAACCAGCACACATAAAATACAATCACACAAGAAAAATATAGAAAAGACAATTTCATAGGCATCAGTCCTATCTTGCAACCAAGTGAATTCTGTGACCTGACTTTAATTGGAAATGATTGATTTCTTATCTCTGAATGATAAAGACTTAATATTACTATTAAGTCTATTAGTTTATAGGAAGTGTTTCAGATAGTTTCAGCAGAAGTAGTTAATACTTTAAGACACTTTTATGTCAAAATATTTTCTGTAAAGATGTTTCACCTTTGCCCTCCCCCTGTGTGACCTCTGACCCCAGAGCATAGTGGTCATCTTTCTGTTCTATTGATTTTCTCTCATTCATTCTACACTTATGCTAATATATCAGACTTAAAAATACCCTTTCACTCCACAGCATGTCTTATTGAGCAGTCATACCTCATGATTTAAATAATAAGTCAATAAATCAACTAAATGTATTTTGGAACAGTTTTAGGTGCTTGTCAGTGAGATTGAGTTGCCCTAATATAAAGGCAGTAAGTACATAGTGATACCAACAACATAATACACCAAGATTCATTTAAAAAGGCTTTACATAACTTGGGTTGAATTGATTTAGATAATGAGACATCAATTATTATTTTTTTTATTCTTGGAATCAGTATATTTTTACTCTTCAAAGCAGTTATACTCAAGAAGACACAGTGTGCTTTAAACATCTCAGGGAAGATCTGAGCAGGTCAAGAAAGTTTAAAGGGGGTCCTGTTTCTGCTAAAAATAGAAAGCTTATAGATCCAGTAACCATCAGCCCCCAGGTCTGTTCTCCCCAGTGCCACAGAGAGCAAGAGCTACGGGAGATGTGACATAAGCCCCAAGGAGAGCAGACTGGCTGGACACTTCATTGAAAGACTGTCGAAGAAGTACAGTTATAGAGGAGAGGCAGACTGCAAATTGGATCAAACAAGTTTTCTTATCAACTTTCAAGAGCAAGCTTCAGCTTTTAAAGGTAAAAAATATGTTATTTTTGTCTAATGAAAAAATTTTAGGGTCTAGCAAATCTATATTTAATTAAAGCTGGTGTCAGTCAATCTGGAACCCAATCTGTGAAAGCTGTCATTGTATTGAGAAGCTCGTCACCTTCACAAAAGTTGTGTGGAAAGCAGATTTAGTGGCTTTTCTGTGCTCAAAAACTTATGTAAAAACTATGTTGTTAAAAATATCAGCCTGTTGTGTGAATCACAGAAATACATTATTTGTTTAAATGAACTGCATAACTGTTTACACGAGTTAGTTATTATTATTAGTTATTAATATTGGTTATACAATGTTACTGAGAGTCGTTAGCTTGTCTTCATTCCCACGTCCATCCATCATTATCATCATGCAGATAATGAGCACTAAAATCCAAACGCAATAGAGATAGTGTGCGCGTGCATCTCCAAACTCCATAGACAAGTCCAATACTAACTACATACTCAAACCCCTCTCTCACAGCGCGCAAGGAGCTCTTTCCCCCGTCGACTCCGAACCACAATGTACTGGAGTCAAACAACAAGCAT